CCCCCCCCTCTTCCGACCGTGAAGTCGAATTGAAATTTGCGATTGGAGATTAATTTGGATTATTGTGTGCTTCATTGGAACTTTATTTCGATTTTCAGAATACAAATGTCGATGATGGGGGATTTATGAACGACCTTCCACTCTTAAAAAGTGAGTATTTGCACTCAAATTATCAACTATTCAATTTATGGAATGATATCTGAGTATACATAGAAAAACGTAAACGTAAATCACGTTTGAGAAGTCGTCTTTTACGCTTTCTTGAAATTGAACGTAAATTACGTTCAAAATCGCCGTAAATTACGATCATTTTTTTCATATTTTTGATAAACGTAATGTAAACGTAAATTACGATTATTTTTTTCATATTTTTGATAAACGTAATTTACGTTTTGATAATTATGATTAGAGGATCTTTTATGAAAGATCCTTTAGTTTAGGCGTAATTTACGTTTTGCTAAACGTAAATTACATTTTGTTAAACGTAAATTACGTTTTGCTAAATGTAATAAACGTAAAAATGCTTTGTTTAGACGTATTTACCTTTTTATTTTGACCGTAAAATACGCTTTTTTAAAGCCGAAATTCCGACTATCATGACGGAAAAAAAATAACCAGACATTATATTGACGTTAAGCGTTAATTGTATTTATCAAAACGTAATTTACGTTTAGCAAAACGTGATTTACGTTTAGCTGTTTCTATGTGGGGGAGTCCCTGAAATGGGACGGGTTTTCGAAAAATTAGCTTGGGATTTTTTCTATCATCAAAACAAATTCAGATGCTCAGGAAAAATAACCCTTGAGTGGTCGCAGCTCTTCACGGAACGTACACTGAGCAAAATTTTCTAGAAAAATTGATGAGCTAGCCCCATAAACGCGTCACAACTTGCACGCTTGCAAAAATTATTGCATAGCACCGGAAAAATTCTTGAGCAGCATCAGAAAAATTGTCATACTACACGCTCGAGCCCAAATAACACGGCTACGAATCCCCGTGTAGGAGTCCAAACTCGCGCGGTGGCCTGTGATGACCAAAATTACACGGAGAGAAATTCTTTACAAAAATTCTAGTGCTGGTACTGGAAAAAATCCCAATTCTCTGGCTACGAAAAATGCGGTTAAGGTAAAATTTCCAGGGATTTCTGATACATTTTCCGGGGATTTCCGTAAAAATTTCATATACGAACGCCAAAAAGTCACGTTCTACTCAATAAAATTTCCGGTGCCGACAGTGGAACTTTTCCCCGGCCGTTATTTTGCGCCCTTTTGTCCCACGTTAATACTAGAATTTTTCTACAGAATTTCTCTCCGTGTAGGGTTAAATAAGATTCAATGTCGCTCTCTTTAAAATTTCTCCCAAATTCTTCATAAAATTTCAATTTTTCTCATTTAAATGCAGTACAATTGAATTCTGTGCATTATACTCGCTTTTCAACGAGATTGAGCGTTACTGCTATCACACGTTATTATAATAATCCTTTTACGATTCGGCCCAGCACACACAAAAAAACTAATAGCAACAGCCACATAAATGCACATCACGAGCAATTGTAAAATGCATGCAACTGTTATCCCATAAGTCATCATTTGTGAACTATTGTCGACCGAATTTCAAGTAATCCTTTATAATGTCAACAATTGCTAAATAATATTGATTCAATCCATTGTCTCTCGTCATGTGACCTTAATCAATAACTCAACTGCAGAATTCGACATCTCTTACGCAAAAAAACTCAAAACTGTTATTTTTCAAAATCCAATTTTATTGCACCACCTGTCCCACTTGGCTATCCTTAACACGATTCCATTATTATGATTTACGGGACAATTAATCTCTCCATGAATATCGACCGGAATTTCTAAATTCCATTTACATATTTCATCGACCCAGACTCCTTCATTGAACACCACCCAATAATTGTTCCGTACCGTTCAATGAAACACCTCTGGTGACATAAAAACAGTATTCGCCCAGACTTGACACTTTCGTTTCACGAAAAAAAGGGGAAAAGTACAACTAGGGGAAAAAATCATTAATTAAATTAAATGAAATCAGCAGCCACAAAGTGCCACGGCCACCTGGCTACACTTGTTTCCCGCAATTCGAATACATAATGGCCAACTGGTTTTATACTCTTAGTGCGAGCAGATCGAAGCTAAAACGGAGCTAAACTTTCTTGCGCAATCTGCGACTGGCAAATAGTGTGCCAGATATTCAGTCCCAGTGTATGACATATATTCACATTTTATGAGTAAAATAATTTTTCTTCACCTCTCGATTTATGCCCTCTCCCCAGACGATTGTCAAAGACCCAGGCTGACATGTAATAATAAGACCAGCATAAACCAGCGTTAAATTACACCCAAGGGGTGGGGAAACTCAATTTGAAGAAGGGGGCTGTGCCTATCGCAGTACAAATGTTATTACCGCACTGAGGTGCCAGATTACCCGCTTATTAGACCACAACGGTTTTCACATTCACGTCTATTAATATATTTTTTTATCAAACCGAATAACTTCCATAATATTTTTCATTCTTAATGGTACAATGGTAATTACGTGATTAAGGTTAATGACACATTTACATGACCTTCCATTAGAAATAAATTGACTTGTTAATGACACTAGAAATTGATTAAACTCATTTACATAGATAAATTTATTTTTATCAACGTCGCTGGAGAAATAAATAAGCACGAATATGATGGAATTATCCAATGATCTTGATTTTAATTAATTACATACGTGTTTTTTGCTGTACAACCGGTGTCAGTTAATCACACGTTTCACAAACATATATTTTGAATAATTTTCTCTGATACGAAATTAGCTATCGGGCGTATTAAAATGTACAGGACAATCGTAGAAATAAACAGTAGGTGACACTGCTCTCTCCGGCGAGGCCAGCAGTTATACTTATCGCTCTTCGTATAATGGAGTGGTGCTGTGACAATAGACGATGGAGGCACTCCACTGCAAATGCTATAGAATTACCAATATCCAGTGCGACTCTTGCGCCGGGGTCTTAGGTGTGAACACAACACGTACGACAGAAAAAAAATAGTACGTGCCCGCGGGCGTATCGGATTTCTGTATTGTCATTGTAATATTCATGGCGGGTAGCTAGTTTTTCGGGGTGGTCCTTCACCACAGGGGTATTACCTACAGATGGCTGTTTGTTCATGGTGCGAGTACGTCAACGTGGTTTATTATATGCCTCGTTACACGCTCTCCCGCCCCTCTTTATTACTCCACGATGGACTCTTATAATAGTATATAGTATATCTTATATAGTATATCTGTACTTTTACCCGTGTTTATCCAATTTTTTTTTATCCGCATTTTCAGTGAGAGGAGAGCAAAATCACTCGCACTGTTGGATGTTTTTCGCTGAAATTTTTGGTGCAATTGGAAATTTTTGTCATATTAGTGTTCCATTGAAATTTCAAAGAATTTCAATATTCAAAATTGAACATTTTATGGAAAAATCTGTTGAAATTGTAAATTTTAGTTCAATTATTACATCAAAATTAATAGATGGCAGGAACAGTCTGCGTAATTTGGTGGTAAATATTCATTTTTTGAAACTGAATATTCATTTTCCGATTAAAAATTGAAAGAAATTGGTAAATTATCGTCTTTCTGCTGTTTACAAATTCAAAATTTCATTGAATTTTCAGTACGATTTGAAATTTCATCTTTTCTTCTTCCCTACATCGAATTTAATGTCTCTGTCCTGAAAATTAGACTCTTATAATAGTATATCTGTACTTTTACCAGTGTTTATCCAATTTTTTTTATCCGTATTTTCAGTGAGAGGAGAACTTAATCGCTCGCACTGTTGGACATTTTTGGCTGAAATTTTTGGTACACTTCTTGGATTTTTTATTACATTATTGATCTATTGAAATTGCAAGCAATTTGAGTATTGAAAGTTGAACATTTTATGGAAAAATCTGTGGAAATTGTAAATTTTAATTCAATTATTACATCAAAATTAATAGATGGCAGAAAAATTCTGTGTAATTTGGTGGTAAATATTCATGTTTTTCTCTAAAAATCGAAATTCCATAGTTTTTTCTTCCCTACATCGAGTTTAATATCACTGTTCTGAAAATTACTAGTTCAAATTAACTGTCCGTGAAATTTAATTTTTTTTCCAACACTTAACTTAAAGATTTGTTGAATAAATCTTAGCAAAGTTATTGGAGGAAGAAGAACAATTTATTAAAAACAAAAATGAACTTGGGGATTAAACTTGAGCTTAATTTTGGGATTAAAATTCTCCATATTAGAGTGCATTAGCCCCTTTTCTGCATATTTTTATGACTTTTCATTCGTTACACTGAGGGAAAAAATTACTTTTGACAAAGATGATTTCCTTCGTACAAAAAAATATTCTCCTGTCTATTTTTACAATTGTGAAATCTCCTAGTAAATAATTTTGTGCATAATCCATGATTCCGTCGATATCATGAGAGAACAGTTGAAGTTACGCGAGACCTCACGTATAGATATATGCTTCAGATAAAAAACTAACGCCATTTCAATGATTTATCGAGGTATCGGTTATCAATTAATTAGTATCTAGCATCAACTGCACCCAGTGCAGTTTGTCAAAGATCACTCACCTCCCAAGGACACGTTTACAATATTAAATTACACAACCATGATCATCTCATCCATCAGTTTCAATAATTTCAATATGTACTACATCTGCATTCAACAGATGTCAGTAATTTTTAACCTAAAACCTCATTGACGCAATGATCGAGTGAAAGGGCGCGCACACGTGTTACACTCTTGGATTGAGCGAATTCAATTCAATTTTCGTCTGATCGAATCTGAAGAAAAAGAAGTTTTAAAAAAATTTCAGTCATTTTAAAGGGGGAAATATATTTCGCGTGTGTGCTCGAGAGCACACGCACAATTTCCTTGGCAATCAATGCAGCCGGAAGCCAGGGGCCAATCGTCACCGGTTGACTTATACAACTGCGCTCGATTGGTCAGGGCCATCCTAGACTGGGGTGTGACTTTTGGTACTTTATCCCCCTTTCAGCTAAAGGGTCTCAACGTGAAGCGTATTACGCCCTGAGGCTGTGCAGTCTCACTATTTCATTGGTCCTTGTTAATGTAATTACCCATTC